TTGAACTCTACATTGCTTTCTGTATTGCTAATTTGTTTAGTGGCCAACTGTTTACAACTATCTCCTGGACCTTCGCTTCCCTAAATTACACAGTTAAAAACTACTGCTTCAANAAACTCATCAGATTCGAACGGTAATCAAATCAACAATACAAGGAATTTCCCATTCTCTGAACAGTCCCCTCACCAACCCAAAGTTTATGGAAAAAAATTCAGAAAATATTTTAAAACAACGAAAAGACGCTTGCGTACGTATAAAATAGTGTTGGGAGAAGGAAAAATCTAAAGGGAATTCAGGAACTCAGTAGCACTACCTTTTAGACATTTCATTCAGATTAGCCTTGATTCTAGTAATGACGACACGTAAGATGTAATATGACGAACACCGATATCAGAAGAATGAAAGCAATCATCGAGTCGGCGTATACATGCAATAAAGCACCCAGACGCCACCCTCACTCGGAATCCAAGACAATTTTCAAGGTACATGGCGTGTGCTCAGGATGTGAATCTCCTCCCGCTATTCAAACTTGTGAGAAACGAGAAAGTAAAATGAAAAGCTTCATCAAAATCAATCACAAAAACAACTCTCTCGTCTCACACTGACTTCCAATAAACAGGTGCTACCCGGCTGATGAGCGCTTGCTAATCCGATAGTTCCTGTTATGGGAATAGCAGCCACGCGTAAGTCACATGAGGTTCCACGAACAATTCAATGACTCCACTTCTGTCGTTGTCTCTTGCCTCGTTTGCATCTATCACCATACCCGGTAACGGCTTGCTTTCAATTTACATTCTAATGAATGCAAATCACAGACTGTCACACGACATGCCACATCAAAACTCAACCCAGAAATTCCAGGTTTCTATCAAACACGGGACATTGAAGGTTACCGGATTCCTAGATCTAGGGTATGTTTGCGCTAGTGAACGCTACCAGTCAAGAAAAAAAAAGACTAATTGGAATGTCTCCCGAGGCCAGAGAAGCCGTTTCTCCTACTGAGCTCTGACAGCGGCTTGGTTGGAGAAGGCGTAAATGTAGCAAGTTCTACTCATTTGCCACTGTTACTCAGCTTTGCTCTTCTCATAAAAAACGAGATGGAGCAACTGCGAAACTCCAGAAGACTGAAAATGAGTTCAAATTAATCCATTAGCGATTAGCTACAGTATATGCAAACAGTACTTCTAATCCACCGAAAATTAAGAACCAGAGATCAAGAGAGCCAATAGGATTCGACAAAACTGGAAACAGATGAGAAGCTTTGACACATTCCTGAACCATCCGATAAATCTGATGGCCCATTGAGTATGAGATTAGCAGTGCGATCACATAAGAATCACGTCGCCATACAGCTCTTGTGAGGGAAAGTGTCATAACTAACCTCAAGGGTGATCACCGAATTATTTGCAGCGATCGTGAATATGATCATGTGGGCGAGAGGAAAAGACCACACCATACAAGAGTCAAACATCGCTGAAATGTGGCTGCGCTGCGCGCACAACTAACGAGGAGCTTTGGATTCACGTTTAGCAACAGCAGTAAGTAAACCTGATGAGAAAACCTCTCATAATCACTATGGAATCATACGCATTTTCAAGGGTACCTAAATAGACTTGAATGAGAATCAGTACTGTTTTCCGCACTCGGGCTTTTTGAAGCGCTTTAAGCCCAGCTACTACTTGCTGAGTGCTCTCAATGATTGGACTATGAGGGATCTACAAACCACGCTAGTGTTGTGGTGATGTTTGTTCAGGAAACCACTAATCACATCGGTTATCAACCAGTTCAGATTAACTACCAAAAGCGTAAAGAGTTCTTCGGAACTACTCTCCTACACAAATTTGTCTAAAATGAATTATTTCCATTTAATGTTGATCGGCAGGCCTTAGAAACAGAAAGGTTGTCGATTTGAACAAGAAGTAAAAAAAAGGAGTTGCCCCAAAAAGTAATTTTCAACAGTCCTCAAAAATGAAATCACCAAAGACATTTCCAAATTAGGAGAGTGTTATGGAGTTGCTCAGAGCGTGTGCCAACGACTTCACAACAACAACAACTAAAGAAGACCACCCACTTATCAGCTCTTCAATTTTAGGTCACTGAGTCACCAAAAAGCAAAGTAAACATTACCGACTGATGTGATGTCTGTATGATCTTCTTACTACCATATGTAAAGTTAGGCCTGGTGAAAAGAGGAACAAAACTTCCCCATCACTGTATGGAGTATGGAACTTTGACTGTGAAGAGATGAATGTGGTCGAAAGGCAATCATAGAATCCATGCAGTCCACAGAGATTTTACAACGAACACTCTTGCAAAACCCACGAAATTTTGCTGATGTGAGAGAAACCCAAAAAAAGAGAAATTGCTATCAAAATTAAAATTAAGAATAAAATAAGAATCAGTTCAGACTATGGTGTATTGGAAGCAGTACTACGTATGAGAATTTCACTACAGACTTCGTATTGATGAAAAACAAAGTGAATTATAGAGCGAGAAACGGGAACCATGGCGATGAAAAGAGAATGACGCTGGAAACCACTGAAAGCTTTCAAAACACACTAATCACTATCCACTCATTGGAATCACTCGTAGCTACGATTTGGGTCACAA